CTCCCAAGACTTATCTAATCTCCCAAAGAACCGGGCCTGGAAGATTATAGCTGTTAGGGTTAACCGTCTTAGCCTTAATGCCTATAAAAGGATACGCTGTCCTGTCCGGGTGCACAGGTGGAGGCGTTTTTTGTTGCAGGTGCCGAAATGATGAGCGCTCATAGTTCACTGCCAAATATCAAAAGATCCACCAAAGCGGCCTGCTGCGCAGTCTCCAGAAACGTGGACAGTTCTTCGCAGAAATTGCGTCTCACACGTCAAAGTTTTTCATTAGCAGAGGCATAAGTTTTGACGGCGAAGATGACATTAGCCTCCGGAATGAGCAGTTTAGATTTATGAGATGATAACTGATCCATCGCGACAAACACGACAGTTGTTGTACGATGTCGTTTTGTACCGCAAAGGGAATCTCAGTGCCATCTAGCTCTGCATTCGGTTGATTATCTCAGGATGAGTATTGGAGAACACGCCCCTCATTCAGTCAAACTTGTCGCCTGGTTACTCCGCAGACCAACACAAAGAGCATGAAAATACTAAGTTACCTAAATGAGCAGAATAATGGAGCAACCCCTGGGATAGGGCTGAGGGGATGGACACAAGAGTTCCTGGTTTTCTTTGCAGTATTTTGATCGCAAATTTAGTATTTATGAACTACCGTACACTTACAGATGGAACGAGTTCCTAGCGCTTTTCCACAACTAGCACCGTTTTCCCTTCATAATCCCTATTAGTCATCTCATACGGCTGCCTGTCTATGCTATTAATCACAGCTTTCTATTGTAAAGAACGGCGCAAATTAGCCTGGGCGGCCTACCATGTTACTTGTCGGTCTCTCCGTAGTTCGGTTTGACTGTGGTGTTGGTTGGGGCGGATTGCACGGGAGCACTGTTACCAGGATTCAGGACAAACAAAACCGGATTGTGACAGTGAATATAACCCGCCGATGGAGGTCGTCACCATGGGGTAACCACTAGGCAGACCCATTTTTGGAGGGTCAAGTATAGGAGTTTAACATCAGTTAAGGGCTTACTGTGTTTGTAGACTCACTTGAAATATCCAGTTTACTGTTCGATTAGTTTGAAAGTTTTCGCCCATAAGGAAATGAGTCCGGTGTAACTTTATAGAAGTTAGTAATTACCGGTTCCACTATGCCAAAAAGCAAATGTTAAAATTCGCATGTCGGCTACAGATTCGGCAAATGAATGCAGTGTTTCAATGGCGCTGTGAATATTTGCACTTAAAAGCTCAACTCAGAGATGGTGGTGAGCAATATGGATCCCCGCACGCCACGTGCCTCAGTTTGATAATGGCATCTCAAGAAATGATATAGCTGTAGAAAAATATATTCCATTGTTTGGTGCCAAAATGGCAGGGTTTACCAAATGAAACGCAATTATCCCACGTCTGAGTAAAATAAATTACTTGCCGAAAATTAAGGTTTTATAACATATGGTGGAAATGTTTGGTTTGACCATTTAATTCCCCGGGCTTTTGAAATTGGCCTGTTTGTAGTGTCGGCTTTTGCCCAGTTTCCGGAGTCGCCCGGAGGGCGAATTCTTCATTGCCTTTGGTGTACACCCTTGTATTTAGAACAATTATCCCTTGAAACAATCATAATTTCTTCAGAAAATTGCGTGTTCCTGCCTCTTTAAAGGCCACAATTCGACTTTGGTGCGTTTACGTATTCTCGTTAATTTTACGTTTATTTCGAGCTTTCTTTCACGTAGTTGTCTATTTTTTAATTCTCACTATTTCGTTGTTCTATAATTTATCCAGCTAGCCATGCAGCATCTTGCAACTGCACCCGAAAATTTCGTCGTCACTGACAGTCGGTCACGCGGCAACCCAGAACCCCACCTTTCCCTTCCAAACCACGGGTTTGTGACAGATTCCCTACAAAAGCCAACCGTTCTGGGTGCAACTCGTGTTTTTGTCCCTGCTGATGTGAAGGACGATGGTTTTCCTCAGTTTTTACCAGCGCGTCGCCCGCGCTCTGACCCTCGCCGTAGAAAGCCAGATCACAGGCCGGTGGGAGACCTCGACCGCGATATATATACTTTAAATCGATCCTCGGTCAGCAGTCTACGTAGACCCACATTAGATGCTGTTGCCGAAGTCTCCGGAGAGAACGGATCCCCAGAGGACTGCACAAAAGCTCCATCGGATTCACAACAGGAGTCTTCTATATCGGTAATGGTCTCTTGTTACCATTATTTCTGCAAATTTGTTCATATACTTATGCGTTTACTTTTTAATCGTACTTGGCGAACCGATTTACTAAAAAATACGATATTAGGAATCCTTGGTTAAGACTGATTACTAATAACGCCTGGGTTTCATCATAGTCGCCACGCTATAACGGCCTTCTGGCACCCGATTCTCGCGTTTTACCAAATCCAGTCACGTTTTTTCGGTTGAATATGCGTTTACATGTCCAATTTTCGTTCGCAGATAAAACTCCCAAAACTATTGCCTATTGACGATTGCTGGACACTCCTTCGTTCCGTGCGTTTTTTCTAAATAAAGCCAACCTGCTATCCATCCAAGCAACAGTGAATTACTCGATGCGATTTGTCGCATGCTCTTGTGTACGCTCTGTGAAACTTGGCGACTGGACTGGGCGTTTAATAGTAAATAATTAGGAGCTGTCGGGATTGCGTCCTGTTAGTACTTCAGTGGA